GGGCTGGCACAGACCACACATCACTCTGCCGTCTCTGTCAGTCTCTGAAATCCTTGAATAGACAGTCAGGTTAGAATTAGTAAAAAGCGGTTCTGCCATCTTGAAGTTTTGCATAGTCACCTCCACAGAAACCTTTCTTCTTAAGCTCTGCTTGCTCCCCTAACAATCCCAGCTGAGCCAGCAGAGGGGCCATAACCGCCCGAGGAACCCTCAGGTGCAGACAGCAACAGCACCCTGGGAAAAAGGGAGGGCACCCAGCTGACCATCCTCAGCTGCGCAGACCTAGGGCTTGGGAGGAGGGCCGTCTCAAGGCTAGGGACAGAGAGGGGAAGCGGAGCTTCTGGAATCTGGGCTCTGACTCCACTTTGCTCTTCAGCCTCCATCCGAATCCTGGCGTTGGAGGAAGAAAACCAGATCCTCCAGGGCAGAGTCCAGGAGCTCGGGGCACCTCTCTGGCCCTGCAGGAGAGCAGCGTCAAGTGCACGGAGCTGCAGGAGGAGAACTGGCAGCTCTGGAAGGAGGTAACACTGGGTGGTGTCCGGGACACATGGGCGAACCGGGGGCCAGGTGACCCGTGGGGTGACAGGTGTGGGGTTTGCTTTAAAGCCAAGTTCACTGTGTGACCTGACTGTGGGCTGGGTCGCTGGCTCCGCAGGTGGAAGAGTTGGGGATGGAACTCCAGAAGGAAAAGGCCAGCAGCCAGCACTTGGAAACCCTCAATGAAGAGCTGGAGGGAGACCTTGAGCAATGGTTCAACATCATACACACCCTGAGGGCGCACAGGGCCGCGCAGGTAGGCCCTCCAGAGCGCATGCCCCCCTGGCGCCCTGCCTGCCAGAGGGAGCGTCCAGGGGAACAGGTGAGTCCTGGTCACTGATCAGTGATTCCTGGATGACCAGTTCGCTCGCTCTGCTGAAGCTCAGACCAGCTATTCTCAGCCAGGGCAGGGAGATGGGGCAATATGGCCTCCCAGGGGTACTGGTCGTCTTGTTCATTGACAGGACTCGGTGAAGGAGAAGAGCCACGCAGACAGGCTGAGGTGAGTGCCAGCCACTGGAGGGATGACTCGCAGGATTCCCAGGGCTCCTGTCTCCCCTTCGCTCTGGCCCCTCGTGTTTGCCTTGGACCCTCTGCTTCACAGGGACTGGAAGGGACCCTCGGGAAACATTGGGGAGAGGGAAGGTGGGGGTCTGGGGCTGGAGGAGACCCCGCCCTTCCCCGCCTTCCTCAGCTCTGCAGTGAAGCCACTCAGAGAGGCTGTGCAGGCTCCTGCGAGTCTGTGCCTGGCGGGTGGGGTTCCCTCCTCAGGCAGCAGGACCAGCTCCAACAGGAGGCAGCGCTACAGGAGCTGAGGAGGCTCCTGACCACCAAGCAGGAGCCCTGCTGCAGGAGAAGGAGGCCAAGGCCCTGGCCGCACAGGAGAACGAGAAGCTGCGGCAGGAGGTACACAGGTAACCGCCTCTGCCCCTGCAGGGCAGCTGATGAATGGGAGAGTTTACATTGTTAAATCCTCAGAACCGGCTGCATGCGTTGCAGTGCAGGCGCGTCTCAGCTCAGACTGGCTGCCTGATTGGAAAGTGCACTTGGCCATCCCATGTTGTGGGCCGTGTTGGACCATCCAACGGGTGTGATCACACCGAAATGGAATCTCTGTGACGTGGCCTTTTTCTTCTTTTGGGAGCAGATTCCCAGCAGTGGAGTCACAGGGGCGTGTGGTGTGGGAGATGTTGCTGATCTGGGTTTTAAGTGCTCACCTGCGTGAGGCAGACTTGGGAAGAAGAGAAACGTCACATGAGGAGCCAGATCAAGATGTTGGCCGAGCAGAAGCGGAACCTTCTAGGAGAGAGTGCGGAGAACAAGGCTCAGTGCATGTAAGGGGCGGGGCTCACCCACGCCTGTCCACACAGGGCTCCTGGCGTCCAGCTCCACGCCCAGGCATCCACATTCTGGTCAGAGAGCCCCGTGGAGCCCTGCAGTCCCAAGGGCAAGGGACAGACCTTCTTCCCAGCACATCCTCCTGTTTCCTGCAATGGGTCTAGCTTTTTGCAAGGGCGGGTGTTTGGCTTTTGTTGGCTTTTCAAAGACACTGCCCATTGCCAGACAATTCTCCATCTGCTTCTGGAATTAAGTTCAATTTAAAAATATGACAGGGGCACCTAGGGAGGGAATTCAGCACCCAGGCTGAACCATTCCTGTGTCTGATTTCCCCTTGATGGGCTGGAGGAGGGTTGTGGGTACGCCATGGTTGTCCTCCCTCTGCCGACAGGACACACACCTGGCTGTGGTGTAGGCCCTGTGAGGCATGCAGAACCGGTGACCCGATGGCCAGGAACCATGAGGTGTGATGGACTGTGAGCAGAGCTGTGTGCACACCACATAGGTGTTGAGGAGCTCCATGGAGGCAGAGAATGCAGCAGGTGGTGGGAGTTGGAATTCTGCTGCTGACCTGGATGGGGACAAGGCTAGCCTATGGGGCAGGAGGTGGAGGAGGTGAAGTTGGAGCGTGGGGTGGTCTGTGTGCAGGGAAGTGCAGGCAGTAGCAGAAGGAAAGGCTGGAGCAGGCAGCGCTCAGCTGTGGAAGGCATCTGTGCCACACTAATGATTGGGATTCACTGGGAGTGAGTGTTTAAGAGATGCTGGCCAGCAAGTCTGAGGGAGCTGACAGAGATGAGGCAGGAGGAAGAGGCTGGGTGCTGGACACCTTGTGGTTTAGACGTCAAGTAATCTGAGATGCATCTGGTGGGTCCAGGGTGGTCTTCACCCCTCGGTGCTGTGCTGCTGGAGTGTCCTTGCTTGTGATCGGAAATGGATGGCCATGAAGGACAGAGAGATGGTCACAGTGACCACAGGAGCACTGGCCCAGCCCCCAAGGTCATGGTGATGCTTCACCGTTCTCCGACGTTGTGTACAAAGGGCACACCACCTACCAAGGATGGTTTACATGGAAAACCACACTCTAGTTTTAGAGTAGAAAAAACTGGGGCCTGAAATGGGCTCTCTCTAATGGAACTGGTAAAAATTAGCAACAGAGGTCAGGCAGGTGCTAACTAGAAGAGCAGGGCCTGGAACCCAGGAGGAAGATCTGATGATGGTTCTGCATTAGACAGTGTCTGCAGGAGGCCAGGGAGTTGGGAGGCTTCCAGAGTCTGCTCAGAGTGGAGTCTTCCGCAGCACGGGGAAGGTTGCGGGGCCTGCCCTCCGTGAGTTTGTGTGCCTAAGGGTGGGGGTCAGTCAGAGCCAGACAGGAAAGCGCTCTAGCAGAAGGCCCAGCAGCAGGGCTGTGGGAAGAGGAGAACAGAGATTAGAAGAACAGATGCGGAGCCACAGATGCTGGGAGCAGAGCAAGGTCAGTGGTCAGAGGCAAAGTGGTTTGTGAGCCATCACTGTTCACGGGCTGCTCACTTCATGGTGACTCTCAGAAGAGCCCTCAAATTAGGTGAGAACTCATCAGATTCATGGCCGAAGGAGCCTGAGCAGCTGCCTCAATCCAGCAGAATCATTTTCAAGCAAGAAAACCAGGGTCTGACCTGTCAAGGCCCAGGCATTTCTGAGCTGAGGTTCAGATGGTTCAAGGTTTGCTCTCCTGAAATGATGTACAGCTTGACCCTCGATGCTTCAGCAGATGGTGACGTTTAGGGTTCCCAGACCCACATCACGTGCTTCCATCTCCTTATTCCCAACTCCGTGATCATGACGGTCATGAGCACCGTGATGTCTGAGTCCCAGATATGCCACCGGCCTTTCTCGGCCCGGTCCCAGCCTGGGCCAGTGAGTCAACTTACATGTTTTGTTTTAAAAACAAGACCTTTTTCTTTCGCCTGATTACAGCGACAAGTCCAATGCCTTACATACAATAAAGGAAGAAGAGAACACAATTACGGATCCAAAGAAGTCCCAGGATCCTATTCCCAAGAATTGAGTTGATTCAAGCAGCAGTAACTTAAATACAGAACAGGAAGCTTGCATCTTCACGAGTGGGGAAAGCTGTAGCATCTAGAGCAGTGAGCAGTTTGTTAGGCCTGCATCTTCTACGCGATGGCAGGTCCCTCCCAGCACTGAGCCAATTCAGAGTTTCTTTCCATCCTGCCCTCAGGGTTCTCCTGTGAGGGATGGTGAATGCCAGCTGGCCATGAGGCTGTGTAAGGGGACAGAGAGTCTGTGGTTTAGAGCCACTAAAGCAGGAGTATCGGGTTTTGTCTCAAGATTTTAGGACCTAGAAAACCTAGTGTGTGTTTGGTAAGGAAGCTTGAGCCAGACACCTGGACCAGCACACATGGTCTTCAGTCATAGGAACCTTCGTCTTCCCTAAATTCTTCTGGAGTCACTGGACCGCACAGTGGTTCACAAACACATTCCCTTCTCCAGAGATCAGCAGCCCCGGTGGTGAGTGGTCTGGGACCCCGACTTCCGGTCTCTGACCTGCAGGGCTTCCCCTAGGCTGGGGCCTGAGACCCAGGTCCTGGGCCTTCACATTGTCCTGTCCAAGCCCAGCCCTGAGGTCAAATCACCATGAATCCTGCAAGACCTCTCTGCTGAAATCACAGAAGAACAGAATTTCCGCTCTCCCACCTGTCCCTTCTGTTGACAGGGACATTGAGGCATCGATGAGGAAAGGAAGCGAGTTGTGTAAGCACAGTGCTGCTCCACACCAGAGCCAGGATTAGAACCCAGATGAGGTCCTTCTTGTGACATTGGAAAGCCTCCATTTCCGGTTAGCTGCAATTTATTACTCTTTAGATTCACTATTTTCATTTACTTATTTTCACTTTCTTTAAAGTTCACACGAGGATATTTTTTGAGATATATAGAATTCTCCTCACGTGCTTTACTTAGGTGCCACTACATTCATTAAATGGAGTCAGAGCATAAATGACTCACTTGAGTCCTGATTCTGATTTTCCCCTGTGCAATGTTTCCATCACTGCTGAGCGGAGAGGATTCGCATTTTCCAAGTACATTTAGGAACTGTGGTTTCATTTGTTGTCGTGTGGGTTTTTTTCCCTTCCTCTCTTGGGTTATCCGGGAATAACAATTTAGCAATTGGGTGCAAAGAGAGTCACTTTTGGAGAAGGAAAAGCAAGGACAAGTCTCCTTTAGGCTGTAGAGCTCTGTCTAAACGTCTAAGATTTTGTTCTCATCGCTTCTCGGCCTTTTGGCTAAGATCAAGTGTAGTATCTGTTCTTATCAGATTTTGTTCTTCTGCTGACATGCCACCCTCTCCTAACTAGCCTTTCAGTTTTTTCGACCCTATGGATTTCCGAACCTTTCCATTTATTAGTATCTTCACTGTATACCCTCCTTCATTTCTGAAATTAAATAAAAAAGCAAGCACACAAAAAACCAGTACGTTAGAAACCCCACAAATAACAAAATACTCCCGTACCTAAAGGCCAGATGACACAGAGTGGATGCCTCCTGCTGACCCCAAGGTGAAGTAGCCAATGTGGGTTCTGATTTTAGAAGAGATGAATGGTCACAGCCTTTGGGCCGTACTCCAGCACAGTGCAGTTTTACAGGAGCCTCGGGACACACACAGAGGTCCTTGGGCCAAAATGTCCGTGCTCAGGAAGTCCCCAGGCTGATTGCTACCCCCTCTCGAGAACCTGCAGCTTGAAGGTCATGCCCGTGTGCAGTGCAGAGCTCATCAGCAGTCACTGTGCTTTATCACATTTGCGGCCTCCATTGGAAGATTTTCTCTGAAGAGCAATTTTTGAGCAGCTAAATCACAAACTGCTGCCCTTTATTCCAAGCTCATTGTCAGAGCAGGAAATCTTTGGCTTTTACAAGTAAGTCCCCTTTCAGATATGTTTTATGTTTTGAAGTATTTATTGCTCCACCCAAGCATTTTGCACAACTGGATCGAGTTTGCCAAGCCAGGATTCAGCCCAGAGTGACATTAGGGCTGTGCTAAGGGTGTGCGACATCTTGGATGCTGCAGTGAGAGCAGCAGTGGACAGACAGAACCTCAGCTCACAGTCACTGACAGAGCTGGGAGTGCTGGTCCAGATGCCTTGAGCTACGGCCTTTTGTCTCCAGTCATCCTTGTACCATCTCTCTGACGTTGCCCTGCTTATATCACCTCTGTGATTACTTACATCTTTCCCCTCAAATCGACTCACCATTTCCACTTGCCTTTATTTTAAAAGGAAAGGTTATAATCGGTCCTCTCAATGGCAAAGCAGTGTCAGAATATAAAAAGGTCGCCATAAAAGTAAATGCGTGACCATCACACTGTCCCATTCGGTGGATGCGGCACTGACTCGATCTCATGCACCTGATCTGATTCCTGAGCTGCCAAGTGCTGGGCTGCCCTTCGCCTTCTCCCGAGTGAGCTGCTGGGAACTCAATATCTCTCTGCCTTTGCTGCTGTCTGAACATCTCCTCCTCTCTGCTCCACATGCTGACTTCATACAGTGGATGCTTGTCTGGTCCATTGCACCAGACTTAAAGCCAAATTTCCCCTTCATTTCAAGTGGTAATAGGTGGGTGCTTCAAACTTCACGGAGTGAAGACACTGAGTGCAGACACTGAATGGCTGGAGGGCTGGGGGGTAGGTCCTAGGAGAGTGTGGAAGGGGCAGGAATCCCAACAGTGGGCGTGGCTCTAGGCACAGAGTCCTCAGGCGGCCTGGAGCCAGACTCTGGGCAAAATAGCCTTGTCCTAATGCTACTAGAACTCCAACCGCATGCATTTTCCACTTGTATTTGGAGAGCCCATCCCCTGACTTACTATGAGTGAGTTGAAGGTCTTTTAGGGGTTCTTTCCCTAATTCTTTTTTCTTCAATTACCTTTGACAAGACTATATGTTCATGGTAGAAAATTCAGAGATTGGAGAAAAGCACAAAATACAAGGTAAAACTGATTTTGCGGTCAAAATCACCATGCAGAGATGAGGATTTTCTCCCAGCTGCTCAGGGCTCACCTTCTGAGCCATGGATAGAGCAAGGGCTGGCCTCCCAGGGCCTCAGCTCAGGTCTGCAGCCAGGGGCTCCCATTCAGACCACAGCCTGTGAGGAACGCGGCCCCACTTTTGACTCAGGGCTCCGTGTTCCCTGCTGCCTCTGCTTCTAGGCCTTGGTGGGATCGCCCTACCTTGGCATGGGATGTTGCAGCCCCATCTGTCACTGTCCTTCTCTGCCCCAGGCCCTGGGGACCTAATTCCAAAGAGAGGGGCCCCCCATAGAGGCAGCCTAGACCGCACAGGTGCCTCCACTGACCCAGCCACCAAGCCACAGCCATCCTGACCAAGAACGCTGTGTGTTGGGGTGATGCTAGGCTGTGAACAGGCCGAGTAGGAGTGGAAATTTTGGTCCTGGCATCGTGGCCTGCACAGGGGACGTCTGGGAGAGGTGGGTAGGGAAAGGGAGGGCTCTCTGAGGACACTCCTGCCCTTTGCTTGCCTTTCAGTTCTTCCTCTCTTCTCTGGAGGACACTCCCCCAGTTTCCGGGATGACGTGCTAAGTGACCTCTTCGGAAAGACCACCATCTCCCGATAATCAGAGGCCAGCCAGGCCTACCTGCCAGGAGAGAAGGGGCAGGATGCCCACCAGCTTGGTGCCCCCTCAGGATGATGGTCCATACCTCTGAGGGGAAGCTGTCTGTAAAATTCGTGACTCCAGACACTTTCTGCCTTTTGAGAAACAATGGGTGTTAGGGATGCTCGAGGAGTTCATTGCTCAGGACTCTCCACAAAGCTCAGCACTGGCAGCCGCAGCACAGCGGACAAGAAAGGGAGGTGAACCAGCAGAGTCCATGGACTGGCTGTGGGAGAAAGAAAGTTACACTGGAGAATACAGGAAGTGAGGACATCACTTTAGGACATTAAGCCAGATGTGAAAGTCTTACCTACAGATGCTACAAGTGCAAACACTTCTAGCATCACATCACAGAAGACTCTGAGCCTCATCAAGGAGGCCCCCTCCTGATAGAAGGCAATCATCACGTCCTCAAAGTTCATATCCTGTCATAACGGGGACACTTAAGTTCTTGATCAGCTTCTCTCCTAAAATTTTATTTGTGTCATACTCCCCACCCTCCACATCCAGTGGCTCCCTCTACTCCCCACATCAGAAAAGCCACAAGGATTTGGTTTCATCAAAGTCACTTTCTACTTTCATTTCACCCTTTCGCCCCACCCCAGAGTGCAAAGGCCACCACTTTGCAGTACCTGCTCCACATAATTCTTTGAAACACACTTCTCTTACACAGCTTCATTCTCAGAGGCACAACTTCAGAGATAACACAAATTTGCTGTTGTGAGGATGAGAACCGGTTGTTTCCTAATCACCTTCTTTTCCAAAATTATAGTTCACCACCTCCATAATCTATTTCTGTCTTACCCTTCTCCCTTTCCCATGCAAGTGGAGATTTGCAAGCCTGAGTCACACTGATGTATGCTACCTCATTCCTATGGATCACTCTAACAGCCCTAAACAACAGGTAGGTGGGTAGATAAATGGCATCTATGCTCTGGACCTGGCATGTAGCACCATCTATGTTCTGTACTTGGAATATAACACCACCTTACACAAGAATAAACTCAAAATGGATAAAAGACTTAAACCTAAGACAGGAAACCATAAAAATCTTGGAATCTTAGAAGAATCCATAGGCAGCAAAAACTCAATTTTCGTAGCAATATGTTTACGGATACATCTCCCAGGAAAATGGAAACTAAGGAGAAAATAAACAAATGGGACTACATCAAACTAAAAAGCTTCTGTACAGCAAAAGAAACCATCAACAAAACAACAAGAGAACCCATTGCATGGGAGAACATATTTGCCAATGTTACATCCAATAAGGATTTAATCTACAAAATATAGGGAACTCATACAACTTCACAAAAGGAAGATACACAATACAGTAAAAAATGGGCAAAGGACCTAAATAGATACTTTTTGAAAAAGAACAAACAGAAGAGGCCAAGAGACATATGAAAACATGCTCAAAGTCACTAATCATCTGAGAGATGCAAATCAAAATGACAATAAGGTATCATTTCACACCTGTCAAAATGGCTATCATCAACAAATCAACAAAACACAAGTGGTGGCGAGAATGTGAAGAACAAGGAACCCTCCTGCACTGCTGGTGGGAATGTAGAGTTGCACAGTCACTGGGGAAAACAGTATGGACTTTCCTCAAAGAATTAAAAATGGAAATTGCACTTGACCCAGTAATCCCACTTCTAGGAATATATCCCAAAAAATCAGAAGCATCGATGAGAAAGAATACAGTAGGTTTTCGGGTTACATCGCAGATCTGTTACTACAGTGCGACGTAATGAGACTTTCGCCATAAGTCAAAACCCACCTACCTAAGCACCTGCGTCACTCACATGGAGCTCATACACAGCAATAATGAAGTGAAACAGTGAAAAAATTTTAAAAGAAAGATAACAATTCCTGACCTTTACTTGTGGTAAATGAATAATAAAAAATATAAAGCACATATGTACATATGTTGAAATGACTGAGCTTTTTGTTTAATAAATAAATGGAAGCCCCAACCGGTTTGGCTCAGTGGATGGAGCATCGGCGTGAGGACTGAAGGGTCCCAGGTTCAATTCCAATCAAAGGCATGTACCTTGGTTGCAGGCTCATCCCCAGTAGGGGGTGTGCAGGAGGCAGCTCATTGATGTTTCTCTCTCATCCATGTTTCTAACTCTCTATCCCTCTCCCTTCCTCTCTGTAAAAAATCAATAAAATATATTTAAATAAATAAATAAATAAATGGGAGATGGTGACCTAACCCCGAAACGACATACGTCACACTCGACATAACCCGAGGACTGCCTGTATATGCACTCCTATGTTCACAGCAGCACAATTGACAATAGCTAAGATTTGGAAACGGCCTAAGTGCCCATTAGCAGATGAGTGGATTAAATAACTGTGGTACATTTACACAATGGAACACTAGGCTGCTATAAAAAAGAGCTCTTACCATTTGCAATAGCGGATGGACCTAAACTAAGTAAGCCAATGAGAGAGAAAGATAAATATCACATCATCTCATTCATTTGTCGAATATAACAAACAACTTAAACAGATGGAACAAAAATAAATCCAGAGACATGGAAGCATTGAACAGTCAACCTAAGACATAAGACAGGGAAGGGGAGGAGGAGAGGGAAGAGGTTAACCAAAGTACTTGTATAGATACATATTAGCATAACCAATGGGCACAGAAGGCAGGAGGGTGAGAGTGGGCAGGAGAGGTCAATAGGGAAAAAGGAGACATTTATAAGACTTTCAACAATAAAGAATTTTTATAAACACACAAAAGGCCACAATCAGACCTCAGATATCCAGAGTCCACCTCCATTGCTGTTGCACTTCTACTCCCTTCAGCAGTCACAGCCAACATCTCTCCACATACCCGTCACTCAAGTCCCAGCCCCGATAGCCCTCTGCACCAAGCCCAGTGAGTCTCACACATAAACACTCAAGCCTCTAAGCTAACCCACAAGATTGACTGCAATACCCCAGTCCACACCAAGGGTCACAGCAAAACCCTGGTGAGTGTTTAGAGACTATGCACCAACTCTCATCTCCTCTTGTTGGAATTACTCTTCAGCCTCCAATTCATCTCACGTCCACTCATCTTTAAAGGCCTTGGCCACTGGGAAACCATTCTCTCCCCAACACTCTACGTGACCACTCAGTCCCTATGCTGTGCTGTGACACCCGCCTCCCACAAACAGGGGCCCCGGCAGGAAAGCCAGTCCTCAGACCCACACTATGCCATCTGAGCAACGATTTACCATTATCATCCTGAGCATGATCCCCTATATATTTTTAAATAAATTTTTATTGATTTCAGAGAGGAAGAGACAGGGAGAGAGAGATAGAAACATCAATGATGAGAATCATTGTTTGGCTGCCTCCTGCACGCCCCCTAGTGGGGATCGAGCCCGCAACCCAGGCATGTGCCCTCAACCAGAATGGAACCTGGGACACTTCAGTCCACAGGTCGATGCTCTTTCCACTCGGCCAAACCGGCTAGGGACCCTATATATTTTTTAATAAATTTTTATTGATTTCTGAAAGGAACGGAGAGGGAGATAGAAACAGCAATGAGAAATCATTGATCGGCTGCCTCCTGCACGCCCCCTACTGGGGATCGAGCCCACAACCTGGGCATGTGACCTGGACCTGAATCGAACCTGGGAACTTTCAGTCCACAGGTCGAGCTCCATCCACTGAGCCAAACCAGCTAGGGCCCATGATTCCCTATACTGAGGTCATCTACAGCCCTGGCTGATGGGTCTCAGTTGCCTGAGCACCGACCAATGATGCACTGAGAGGTTGCAGGCACCGGGTCCTGGTCAGCTCACATGGCTGCAACCCATCCATCCTTGTTTCTCGCTCATGGATGTTTCTCTGTCTCTCTCCCTCTCCCTGTCTATGTCTAAAATCAATAAAAGTGTATATTTTTAAAAGGACACCTGCCCGTTCCTGAACCACCTCAGTCTTCACTCTGAGCCTTCGCACATTCTGGTCCCTGTGTCTGGGAGGAACCCCCACCTCTCATTCCACTCGTTGCCAAAAGCAGGGTCCACGTCATAAACCCCAGCCGTGGCCTTCGGACTCTGGGCTGAGTGTCCCCGGGGCCCAGGGCGGGAAGAGGGGCCGACGGCCCCACGGGCACCACGACCTCAGAGGCCACCAGAGAGTGAGGCCCTGACAGGAGCCCCCAGCCCCGTCCCCCAGCGGCTCTGCCCCCGCAGGAACCGGTGGGAACGAAAGGGCTGAGGGCCGGGCACCCACCCCAGGACCCAGGGGCTCCGGCTGCTCAGGGCCCTGGCCCGGCCCCGGGCGGGTGAGGCCGCCTCCCTCGGGGCTCAAGGTCCCTCTTTGTTCACAACCACCCCCGGCCCCGGCGCCCTGACAGGAAGCGAACCTCCTCCCGGACCCGCCGCTCGGCCTCTCGGTCGCCTTTAGACACAAACCAAGCCGGGGTGCCCCCTCCCGGCTCAGCCCCCACGGCCTCCCCCGGCGGCCCCGCAGCCCGGCGCCCGCCCTCCCCTCACACCCCGGGGCCCCACGGGGACTCACTGCGCTGGACGCTGCGCCCTGGGCGGCGGGACCCGAGCGGCGCCGGCCCCGAGGCTGGAGGGTCCGATGGGGAGAGGCCGAGGGGCCTCTGTCGGCGGAGAGGAGTCGGGGAGGCTCGGGGACCCCAGTCCCGGGTGTTGGGGCTCAACCAGCCTCAGGCCCGCCCTGCGCAGCGGGGACCCTGCCTCCCCCGCCTCCTCCTTCGAGCCACCAACGCTCAGCCGCGCGCGCACCGAACCCTGCAGGTCCGTTACCGGAAGCCACAATGTCCGCCAAGAAGACGGTACCGGAAGTCCCGCCCTAACGGAAACTGCTGGAACCCAAATGCACCTACCTCAGCGGAAGCGGGCGCAGTTCCTTCTGGGTGATGTAGTTTTCTCCCGGAGCCCTGGGTGTGACCTCGGGGAGTGAAGGTGACTTGGCGCTGCCACTGGCGCTGGGGGAGGAGGAGATGAGACCAGAGGCCGGGTTCACGGGGACAGACCGACAGGCCCCCCTCCAGGGGAAGGGGGACGGGGAGAGACCCCCAAAGAACATATGCACAGGGGAATGGGAGACATCTCAACACCATGGACAATAAAAATACACATTACATTTTATTAAAAATATATAGTAGGGCTCAGCTGGGGCCTTCTCTCTAGGCCTGTCCTTCCTCCTCCTGCAGCTCAGGAGACCTGCCGCCCTCCATCTGCCCCTGCCCTTCGGACTGGGAGGCTGCTGCGTCTTGCGGGGTGAAGGCACCTGGCTTTCGCCACGCAGGGCACCTGCGGCCCCCACCTCCTCCTCCTTCAGTCCCTGTTGGTCGCCCACCTGCTCCTGGTCCGGGCACTTGCAGGAGGGGAGCTGGCGCCCCCTAGTGTCCTCACCCACATGACTCAGGATTCAGGGCTGAGTGTTTCTCCAAGGTCCCAGTTCCCAAGGTAAGAAGGGGCTGGACAGCCCCAGGACCCCAGGACCTCAGAGGCCACAGAGTGTGAGGCTCTGAAATCAGGTCCACAGCCCAGGCCCCTCAGCGGCTCTGCACCCCCAGTAAACTTTGGGAACTAAAGGGCTGTTGAGGGCCTGGCAACCCACCCCAGGACCCAGGGGCTCAGGCTACCCAGGACCCTGGCCCACACCCCGGGCCGGGTGATGCCTGCAGCCCTCAGCGGTCAGTCCAGTGTGCACCTGCCAGTGACCTCATCACCTACACTGTCCTGCTTACTGCCCTCCTGCTGGCCTCTCCCTTCTAGACTGTTCTTCCTCTGGGCAGTTTTGGGCAAATGTCAGAACCCTGCCTCACACAATGTCCATCTACTGATCACGGCAAACGATGACCCCGGCTTCCTGAGAATGAAAGTAAAACTCCTCATGCACAACCTTACCTCCTGATGTCGCCTTTAGACACAAAAACAGGCCTGGGTTTTGCTGAACAATCCTGGCTCAGCCGCACCACCATGTCCTCACAGTGGCATTGTGTGCGGCCCACAGCCCCTTTACCGCACCACAGGGAACGTCACCCACGAAGGACTAACTGTTCTTGACACTGTGACCTGGGCTGCAGAACCAGATGCGCCCTAGCACCGTCGGATGGAGGGTGAATGGGATGAGGTTGAGTTGAACCCTTTCAGGAGAGAGAAGTCTGGGAGGCACAGAGGACTTAATCCGGCAAGTGTGGGCTCCACAAGCCTGACACACCCTGCACAGCTGGGCCGCTGCCCATGAAGCCCCTTCCTGGTTGTAACCCAGTCCTGGACCCTCTGCCTCCATAAACACAATAAAAAGGTCAAAATAACCACCACGTGGAAGATAACGCAAGTCCTGCCCAAACCAATAAGCACTGGGACCATGTGCTCCTGGGTTTTCATTGTCTAAACCCAGCCATCATTAGGCACATTGCCCTTTGGGGAATGTAATTTTCCAGGCACTGCAGATGGCATGATGATACCAGGCACTGACCTTTGTAAATACTGTTGCTGCAGGTGGTGGCTGGGGAGCAGTGGCATTGGGAAATGAAAAAGGTAGGACCCCACTCAAGCTGTCAGAGCTTTTATTTCTAACTTACAAATTTCACATTTTTACAACAGCAGGCTATGAGACAACATACACAATCCTATCCTATTAATTTAACAACAAAATTTGAGAAGATACAAAGACCAACAAGTCAGCATTTCATACAATGTCTGCATATCTGCAGTCAGCACACATTGTGAAGCTATGGAGCTAAGTTACTCAATGTTCACTACCCCTGTCAGGCCCTGGATTCAATGCTTCACAAGAATTATATCATTTAATCCTCTCCCCAACCTGACATGGCTTACCCATCTATTTCCTGGGGAGGAAACCAGGCTCAGAGACTCAATGTGCACTGCCTGATTGTAGAGGCAATAAAAGGCAGGGCTGGAAGACAAACACACAGGTGTCTAATAACAGGGTTCTGTTGTGGCCCATGAGCATAGAGCTTTGGCTGAAGGAGTTCCCACAATCACCACCCTCATATGGCGTTTCTCCAGTGTGAACCCTCTGATGATGTGTGAGAGCAGCGGTTTGCCTGTACGATTTCCCAGTATCACTGTGCTCATTAGGCTTCTCTCCAAAGTGATCTCTGCGGTGTCGGATGAGGTTACAGCGTTTCCTGAATGACTCCCCACAATCAGTACACTGATACGGCTTTTCTCCAGTGTGAATTCTCTTATGGTTAAGGTGATGGTGACTGGAGCAAAATGATTTCCCACATTCACCACACACATAGGGCTTTTCACCAGTGTGCACTCTCTGGTGACTGTTGAGGCCCCCCTTTTGACTGAATGACTTCCACAATCACCACACACATAGGGCTTTCCACCAGTGTGAGTTCTCCGGTGACTGTTGGGGTTACACTTTTGACTGAATGACTACCCACAATCACCACATACATAGGGCTTTTCACCCATGAACACTCTGGTGACTACTGAGGCTACGCTTTCGGCTGAATGACTTCCCACATTCACCACACACATAGGGCTTTTCACCAGTGTGAGTTCTCTGATGACTGTTGAGGTTACCCTTTTGGATGAATGACTTCCCACAATCACCACACACATAGGACTTTACACCAGTGTGAATTCTCTGGTGACAGTTGAGGTTAGACTTCCGATTGAATGACTTCCCACAATCACGACACACATAGGACTTTTCACCAGTGTGAGTTCTCCGATGACTGTTGAGGTTACCCTTTTGGATGAATGACTTCCCACAATCACCACACACATAGGACTTTACACCAGTGTGAATTCTCTGGTGACAGTTGAGGTTACACTTCCGACTGAATGACTTCCCACAATCACGACACACATAGGGCTTTTCACCAGTATGAACTCTCCAGTGTTTAATGAGGGAAGAGCTTTCTCTAAATAACTTCCCACAATCAGTACACCCATAGGGCTTTTCTCCATTGTTAACTCTCCTATGTCGATTGCGTTTAAAGGTACGTCTAGATTTGTTACCCTCACTATTCACTTCTTCACAGCAGACACTCTGATGTCGAATGACTTTCCCGGTGTTGCTGGAAGCATTTTCATGTCCACCCCAATTGTGATGATTTTTTCCACTGACTAATTCCTGTGAAATCTCATTTGCACTGTGTGGCTCCCCAGTGTTGAGAGTTACCTGCTGCTGGAAAAGCCCTGAGATACCTGGGGAGACTTTCCCAACCTTTGTATTGGTTGAAAGCAACCAAGATTGGAAGCTGCACCTGGTCACAAATGACGCCCTGTCCATGCCTTCTTTCCAGGGCTTCTCTCCACTGGCTTCCCCCTGCTGCTGGTGAAGATTTACACTGAAACAGAAGGCTCTCACACATGCGTCACTGAAGGCTTTCTGCTCAAAGTCTGTTGCTTGTGACTCAGTCAGGTGCCGAATGTCTTTTAACACTGAGAAGCACCGCTTACACAGATGGATCTTCTTGGTTGCTAGCTCTGTCTTAGAAGTCCTGACCTGTGACTCTCCTTGTATAGATATGCTCTGTTCAAAACAGGCCTCCTCATCTGTTTCATGCCAACAACCTGCAAAGACAGAAATGCTGAGGTAGTGAGTGTTGACTGTCGTGACAGACGAAATCCAATTGCTTAAAGTGTTTTACACATAATCCATATGTTTCCGTGCAATTGTCTGAAAATAAGAGAGGTGCAGGAAGGATTAATGAGAGGCTGCTGTGAATGTCTCATCCACTGAACATCACAAAACATGAAGGCCTCACCAGAAATATGACACAACACATGGCAAGGAGCTCATGGAAGAGAAGCCAGATCTCCAGCTCAGGCTTCTGGTAACAGCGCTCAGCTTGGCTTGTTTGATGGTGACAGGGGCAAGCTGTGCAGATTGATTAGGTCTTATTCCAAGTAAAATTCAATAAAGGAGTAACTGGTGTGGAGGACTATTTAAGCACGTATGTGCACCTCATAACACATGTGCAGGTTAATGTGGGAGATACTGCACAGGCAAGCAGCCAGCACTGGCCCAGAGCATCACAGCTTGAACAGTGTTCAGCAAAGAGAATATTGAGAACAGCTGAAGGAGGGCCTTACAAGAATTCCTCATGGTTCATGTGAGTAAAGTCCATAATGTAGCACTGGCCGTCACAAAGAACCCTTAGCAAGAGGAAGGAGGGAGAAGTGGAAGCCATGCAGGTGGATCCAGCCACCCTCCCAGGAAGAGAAACTAAAAGCTGGGACCCAGTAAGCTCACTGCAAGGCTCCTGACTCCCAGACACTTGCTGCACCTTTTGAGGCAGTGGGTGTTAGCGAGGTTCCTAGAGACCTTATCTCAGGGGTCTCCCCAGAGCTCACCCCTGGCACCCATGCCCATTTTACACTACAGTGGGGGAAATTAGCAGAGCCATTGTCTGGCTATGAGAGAGAGAAATCTACGTTTGGAGAATGAAGGAAGAGAGGACATCACCTCAGCACACCAAGAGTGATTTGAAGGGCTTACCTACAGATGACACGAGTGCAAACACTTCCAGCATCACATCGCAGTACAGAAGTCTCTGAGCCTCATCAAGGAGGCCCCACTCCTCCTCAGAGAAGGCAACGGCCACGTCCTCAAAGTCCATATCCTGTCGTGATGGGGACAGTTCAGTCCATGATCACTTTCTCTCCCAGGCCTTTATACTCATCATGCTTCCCCCCACAACTATTTGCTCCCTCAACTCCACACAAAGAGGAGACAGCAGGCCTCGGTCCCATGAAAGTCACTTTCTCCTTATATTCCTACTGATGCTGTGTCTT